ATATCTTATCAAAAATAATCAATATTTATTTTATAACTGCATTTTACTATACTACCATATATGTGTTGCTTTAAAGAAACACTTCTTGTTCACAAAGAAATAATGGAGTTATAGAAAAAAATAAAGTTAGGGAAGACCATTCAAATCTTCAGAACTTTGTAATCTAACCTCAACAATAACAGCAAAAGTACTACTAAAAATATTAGTAAAGATTACTCTATATTAGCATATGTATTCTAGAATCAGGCAGCCCATCTTTAACAGCCTTTAACTATCTACCAACAGGTATAAGAAAAGAATCTTGGAGTGTTCTAGTTTAAAAGAAAAACTCAAACAATAGTAGTAAGTTTAAATTCTGAAACCAGAGGTCACCAAAAATGCATATCTTATTGTATTGGTACTTATATTTCCTACTTCAAGATATTGATCCTGGAAGATGTTTGCTTTTAATAGGTACTGCTTTCATCTACATTAAAAGTATCATTCAAGAAGAACCTGTTATAAAGGATTTGTTGTTGCTGTTAACACAAGGGAAAGTGTCACGTCCAGTTCCCCAGATCTCTAGACATATATGAAAGTGTATTGGACTTTGAAGCTGTTACTGGCACTAAACAAGGATACTTCTGTTGGATTTTTAGTACTTCTTAATGTCTTCATATACTGCTTTAAACATTCTCTTAAAATATGATAAACTTACTCCTGATGACTTGAAAACATTAGCATACTAGGGAAAATTGTGTTAATGCAACTTAAAATTTATGCTGACATCATTCTCCTCTTACCAAATGCATATGAGCTAATTTGTAGTAAAGAAATGTACCAGATGGGTGCAGTGACTCATGCCTGTAATCTTAGCTTTCTGGGAGGCCAGGGCGGGAGGATAGCTACAGCTCAGGGGTTCGACACCAGCCTGAGCACAGTGAGACCCTGTCTCTATCCCTAGAAACAAGAAACAAACAAAAAAAGACAAAAAAATATGCAAAACCAACAAGAAATGTGCCTAATAGTAGAACAGGGTATAATATTTAGCATAGACCAAAAACTGTTTTAAATTCTGTGTTCATATTAACTAATTTAATTCATATGATTATATGTTATTATTAACCCCATTTTATAAATTTAAAACAATACACAGACACTGAATAACTTGCTCAAGATTACATAGCAAATAAGTAGCTAAGTGGGATTTGGGCCTGGGTGGCATGGTTTTAGTGTCCTTTTTCTTAGATACTACACTATATTACTTCTTTGAAAAGGACTAATCTTGATTTTGGTTTATTCCTACTAATGCCATATCAGTACCTCCTTTAGTACTTACAACATCCTGTCTTTTATGTCGAATTCATTTATTTTTTTTCAAACTATGTGTCATATTTGGTTCAGAAAATGTAGTAACCAAAGTTTTGATCTCTGTAATATCTTTTGGTGTGTGACCTTGAGCGATTTGTTTACTATCCCCATATCTAAACGATCTTTGATCTGCAAAGAGAAATATTTAGGTTGCCATATCCAGTGTCTTTCAAATCCTAAATTTGGTTAGGATCTCATACTCATATTCATATATATCAACACTTGGCACTTTCTGTGGGCATATAGCATGTGGGCCCATATGGCAGTAGTGTCCTGTTCCAAATTTCACTGCAAGATTATTTCTTTTTATACTTCTGTTATTAACAGATTTCATATACTATTCTTTAATCTTATGATGCATTTATTTTATATAAATATAAATAAAAATTCTTCAATTTTTGGCTTCATTATTCAGTTTAGTTCAAAACATTTGTGTAACCACTATATGTTCTACAAATAAGAAACAAGGATAAATACAACATGGATTCTTCCCTTGAGGTGCTGGCAATCTAATTAGTGGTTGATTTGTGAAACATTGGTTAGAGAGCTTAGTCTAAAAAAAAGACTTGTTCTTTTAAAAATGTCTTCTGTATTTCTCCATTTATGATAAATATCAGATCATCAGATACAAATAAACTTGCAAAATGTCTTTTTAAGTATTTTGTAGCTAATTACACATGTCTATAAATATTCAAAAACTAACCTTGTAAAAGCTATTAAGAAAAAAAATCACTGAATTCTGTTCACTGTTTTGATTGTCTAGTATATTTATTACTTAACATTGTAGATTTAAACCAAAGAGAATAAAACGTCTTTTAAAAAAGTTTATATATTTTACAAAGCAAAAATTTGTCAGCTAACCAAATAAAAACCATAACTATTTAAGCATTATCTATATCCTTGAAATTATGCAAAAATGTCAAGAAATAAAATAAGAAATTTTCAAATGATTTATTGATTGATTTGCTTTACCACAATTTTAATTATGTTAAGTAAATAGTAAAAGTCACTTCTCCCCCAGAGGTAATCACTGTTAACTATTAAGTATATATCTTTCTTGATTTTTTCAAATCATACAAAGACCTACATTTAACTTCAAAACATACTATTTATTTCAACATGGGATAAGTTAGAAAAAGAGTGAATGGGCAGAAAGACTGTTGTACAGAGATAAAGATAAAATGTACCCCACTCTGACATTAAAATGTACTATTCCTTTCTTGCATCCATCTGCATCTCAAAGGTTAGTCTCACCTATACTGTTTTTAGTACTTAACCTTGAAGGTAGTAAAGACGATGAATTGCTATTTTCAATTTTTCCACAACATTTTAGTGAAATGATTAGTACATGGCTTCACCTTTATAAAAAGTGACAAAATAATTGTTGAAATACCCACCCCTTTTGAGATTTCTTTTTCACAGCTATGTAACCCATCAATTTAATTTCAGATGATTACAGAATAGTTTTACTTAACCCAATATCTCTTACCAACACTTGGACTTTCTCTTTAGAAGTTCTACTAAGAATGTAAAAGGTGGTATCAGATCACTTCAACTATCAAAGTCAAATATTAACAAATTTAATCGTCATCATGGTTAATGATAGTTTTAGTAACTGGGCTGAAAGACAGCACAACACTAATGTCCATGATAGGAAAGAATCAACAAATTTGTGAAAATTATTTTTATGCATATGTTAAGGCTATGTTGGTCTTAATTGAAATGCTATAATTAAATGTCATGGATATTCACCCATCAAGGACAATGAACTTGAATTCTCAGAAACATGTTTGAATTTTACCCCTCATTGTTCACAGCAAGGACACAGCATTCTTTATGGCCTAGCATTTGTCACAATGTTTAAGGCGTTTTCTTAAGAATGAATATCTTTCACAATTTATATGTAAATTACTTAATTTAATGATTTTTTCATATGCTGAAGACAAGTACAGATAATTATTAGTTTGTGGTGCCAACATGCAACACACTTTATTTTCATTATCTCATTCAGTCTGCACAATAGCCACAAGAAGAAGGTATTAATAGCATTTTTGTTATACAAATTTGGAAACTGAGACTTACCAAGAGTTTCACTTATCTAAAGGTACACAGCTTGTACACGTCACAGCCAGGATGCAAAATCATTGGCTTCAATTGCTATGCTGTTAATCATATATATAACTGTTGCTAAGATAGTAAAGTAATGGATCATGATGCAACACAAAACAACTATTGCTCTCTAAGATTGACTTCATTTATAAGTGAAGTAGGCTCCCCAACTAATGTATCTTCCCAACTAAGGGTGTATTCATTCGTGGTATCAATACCCTATTCCATATTAAAATCCTTCTTTTAAGATGTCCTGGAGATTTATTATACAGCATAGTGACTAGCTATAAATAATGTATTGCATGTTTGAAACATGCTTATAGAATAGACTTTAAACATTCTCACCATAAAAGAGTAAGTATATGAGGTGAGGATATGTTAATTAGTTTTAGCTTATCACTCTACAATGTATACATATATCAAAAAATATGTTTTACCCAACAAATATATATATGATTTGTATATGTTAACTAAAAATAAATAAATAAATGTAAAAATGGTTTTAGAAAACATAGCACAATGATAAATGCATCCAATCACATTTTGTGACATGAAAGAAATCACAGCCATTGTAGAACCAGCATCAAAGAAAGCTAAGGGAAATATGAACTTAATATTAGAGAAAGTGAGTAGAAAAAGTACTCAGAACACATCTGAGACATAAATGATTTACTTTATAATATTGTCATTGACTGATCCTAATGCAATTCTGATATGAAGTCATTTAGTCAGACTGTTTTAAGGTTAATGCTTTTCGTAGATTCAGCTTTCAAGTAATAATAGAAATAATCCAATCTAACTCTATACCCTCCAGTTGATTTTACACAGGTACACACACACATATACAAATGCCCCATGTTTTACAAATCTTCTTTCCACTTTTTGAAGTGTACTAATCTTGCCATTTCCCAGGAATAGAAAGGAACTTAAGATGATCCAATGGATTTTTACATAGCATATTTCTTTAAATGTTCATATAATGTGAGTTAATACTAATATGACACTAAGCCATTTTAAGTGAGTTAATATTTATTAAGCACTTAAAATAAAATCTGGCATATAGTATGTACTGTGTAAGGATTATTCAGTAAACCCATTCATATCTTCATAATTCAGTTAAATTTAGGCTTCTGCATTTATTAGATTGGTTTAGCGATTAAAAGGCTCCAGCACTAGACTTGTTGAGTTGAAATACCAATTCCATTACTTATTAGCCATATGACCTTTGCCAAGTTAATTTACATCTCTGGGCCTTGGTTTCCTCATGTATATAATAATAGTACCTATCTCATAAGTTGTTGTGAACATTAAAGAATATTACATATATAAAACTATTAGATTAATGCCTAACAGGAAACACTCAATAAATCTTAACTGTTTATGTAATCTCTATTGTGCATGTATACAATTTATGATCTGTCATTTTTAATGAAATATTAAAAAGCTAATTGGGATGCCTGAGCCTTTTGTATATCATCATGGTTTCCTTTTTATAACACATTAGGCTCAATATGTAATGAGATTTTCACTTTTGCTTTTAGCCAATTACCATTGAACCTGAAGTAACAAGTTCCTCAATGGAACCTGGACCTGACTCTGTGCCTCCAAATCAACATTTGTCAATGGTGAGTAAATTGAATTACTCCATTGTGAGCATTGAGAAGTTCACTATTGGGGCAAATACACATAAAGCTTTTCCACTTCAGAAATGTTCCAAATGTGGTTTTGAATTTGAGAAACTAAATAGAATTTGTTTCCTTACAATACCATTTAAATAAATATAGAATCATACTACCATAAACTGTAGTTAATATTTCATTTCAGGAATCTTGGAAGAACAATTCAAGGTTAATTTATTCTGTCAGTAATTTATCGAGTAGTTTAAGTGCTATCAGTAACTACATGAACTCTTTGTATTCTTCCCAAGTAAACATTGGCCAGTTTTCAACATTTGATTCTGTTGACTATTCCATCCTTGAAACTTTCTGTAACACTTAATTTTTCTGTGACTATCTTATTTTTCCAACTTCTCTGCTTCTTAGTAGCTTTTACTAGCTCTCATTCCTTCGAGTAATATTCACAGCCTTTAAAAAATTGATCTCAACCAAATTTTCAACCTCATCTCTTTGCAATTCTCTGTCCTAGAGTTTACTAGCCACATTATGACTACTCCTAGACTTGCAAATTCTCTATATGCTCTCACTCTTTGTGTCTTTTGATACTCTTCTGTGCTTAGATTTTTCTCACCCCTCTTCTTTCTCAGCCTGGGTAATTCTTACTCATTCTTCAACATTGACCTCAAATGTCACCTCTCCTGTGAAATCTTGCTGGACACCCTCAGGTAGAATTAATCAGTTTCTTCTTCTTTGTGGTCATAGGCACTTGGTAAATAATACTGTCAACTCATCACACTTCATTCTAGTTACCTAAATGGTGAATAACCACATGTACTCACCATCAAATTGGTACTAACTGATCAAGACTAAGGTGCTCACATGGTAGTAATATTCACTGGGTACCAGTCAGGTGAGGGGGCTGGGGGTGGGTGAACTCACAACTATTTTTTCTTACTGATTTTTGTAATTCAAGCAAATAGCATAGTACCTTGAACATGGGGACACAGGAATTTAATGTTTGTTGGATGGATGGATGGATGGATGGATGGATGGATGGATGGATGGATGGATAAATGGATGTATGGATCGATGGATAGCCAATGTCCCAGAGGGAGGCCAGGTCAGAAAAACATGAACCAGTGTGAGTAAACTAAAAATACTATTTTGCTCATAATGTTCAGAGAATAAGACAACAGAATTTCAGGTACAGTTCATTCTGGTGTTTATATTTAGTTATCTCCATCCTTTTTGCATAAGGAAAGGAGACCTCAGAATCTAGTCCTAACAAGATGGGATCATTTACTTTTCTAGGATACAAATGCTCAGAGAATACATCTTAGAATGTTCCTGATTCCTCTGACCAGATCATAAAGTAATTACCTCCAATACCACATTCACAAAGTGAATTTCCTACATTAACATACATATTCACTTACCAACATACTTTTATTTAACAATTTTTGAAGCATGTTTACCAAATAATACATAAGTACAGGAAAATGAAATTGTTTAGCTACTGTAATAAAAGCAACTTCAAAGACTATATACAGAAACTTCTCACTTCCATTCCCACATAAGCTAACATAAACAGAAATATATCATATTAAGGAATAATAAATCATTCTATCTAACCAGCTCAATCTTCAATTAAGAGCGATATAAGCACATATTAGCAATTTTATCATCTTATAATTTATAATATTAATTTGTAAGATAAAAATACAGTTGATTAAATTTACATAGGAACCACATCTTGTCAATGTTATAAAATATTTAAAAGGTAAAAAATATCTAAGCTCTTCTTCCTAAATGGTGGATATACAGTGCAAAATAGCCACCTGTTGTATATTTGCTCTCATCATAATTTCCTTGGCTGTGCAGAAGCTTTTTAATTTGATCAGGTCCCACTTATTTATTTTTGTTGCTGCTGTGATTGCTTTAGGGGTCTTCTTCATGAATTCTTTACCTAGGCCAATGCCTGTAAGACTTTTCCCAACACTTTCTTCTAGAATTCTTAATGTTTCACGTCTTAGGTTTAAGTCTGTTATCCACCGTAAGTTGATTTCTGTGAAAGGTGAGAGATGTGGATCTGGTTTCAATCTTCTGCATGGAGTTATCCAGTTTTCCCAGCACCATTTACTGAATATAGATTCTTTTTCCAAATGTATATTTTTGTCTGCTTTGTCAAAGATTAGATGACAATATGAGAATTGTTTTATATCTGGGTTCTCAGTCCTGTTCCATAGGTCTGTATCTATGCTCCTGTGCCAGTTAAATGCTGTTTTAGTTACTGTAGCTTTGTAAGAAAGCTTGAAGTCTGGTAGACTGATGACTCCCAATATTTTTCTTTTTCCTTAAGATTGCTTTGGCTATATGGGGTCTTTTCTGGTTTCATTTGAAGCATAGGATTATTTCTTCTAGATATGTAAAGAATGATGATGGTATTTTGATAGGGATTGCATTAATCCTATAGATCACTTTAGGTAGTAAGGACATTATAACAATATTGATTTTGCCAATCCATGAGCACGGTAGGTTTTTCCATGTGTTTACATCTTCTATAATTTCTTTTCTCAGTGTTTCATACTTCTCCTGATATATGTCTCTCACCTCCTTCATTAATTATATTCCTAGGTATTTAATTTTCTTTGATGCTATTGTGAAAGGTGTTACATCTTTGATTTGATTCTCAGCTTGACTGTTATTGGTATATATGAATGCCACTGATTTGTGTGCATTAATTTTGTATCCTGAGACTTTACTGAATTCATTCATAAATTCCAGGAGTCTCTTGGTTGAATACTTGGGATTTTTGTTGGCATTGATGGGAAGACATTGAAACACCCTTACACTGCTAGTGGGACTGCAAATTAGTAAAAGCCCTGTGGAAACCTTTAAAATTCTATTTTTACATTTTGTGCTCCTTCCTGATGAAAACAGAATTTTCATCATTTTTCATTAGGTTGTATTCTTATTGGTCCTTGTAATGTTAACTGAAAAGTCTGTTACCTGATTTTTCCTTTTAATATGCATAACTATACAATTAAATAGAAAAATGGCAAACAACAACATATTACCAGTGAAGAGAAACAGCCTGCAAGATGTTAAAAGGTGTCTGTCAGATTCAATCAGTGCATTCTGAAGTATTTTCTTCTTATTTAAAACATCACACATACTTTGATATTAATATGTTTCTCCTGCCCATATGAAGGGATTGCATAATCAATTACAGATTATTTGAGTTTTCAAAGGGAGTACTTTTCAATGTGAATCATCCTTTGTTAGCAAACCAAGTTTTGTTATTGTTATTGTTGATCTATTACACATTGAACTTGAACTTACTCCATTACTTTTGTAGATTATTGGGAAAAATAGGTACTCTGAAAAGGCCATGGAGTGCCTTATAAATGTAAAGCCCTGAAGCCATTGCCCAAAGATTTTTATACTATTTTTCTCTTGATCAATATTGATCATTACTCATTTTCAGGAAGTATAACTTCCAAATTGATGATCCATTCTAGACATTGCAAAGAAATTATTCTCTATAAACATTTATTTCTGATACAATTTCATCTACTCAAATCTTTTATGACTCTTTATTACCTACAGATTTATTTCAAATATATTTGTTTGTAAATCAAAACCACGCACTAAAATAGCGTCACTGTTTTTCTCAATGTCCTTATAGTGTTTTTAATTTTGCTTGTTTATTTTTTCATTACTGCCAGTATGGGTTTCCTACTCTCCTCAGAATGTACTATTATGTATTCCTAGCTGTCTGCCTTTGCTCAAACAATTCCATCTCCCTGAAAATGCCAAACTATCTTCTTTCTGGTTGTCTACATGCTGCTGTCTCTCCAAAGCTGATCTCTACTTTCTCCACGAGGTCTTCTCTGACCATTCCACTTCTTATAAAATGTCATAAACTGTCTTTATATACCACTTTGAATTGTTATGTCTCTTTTATGTGGAGATTCTGCTTTGTTAACCATATTTAATCTCTGAAAGAACTTGGTTTATTTTTCACCAACTTAAGAGAGTAACTTGTGTATACTAAACATACCACAGAGATATTGTGGGTTCAGTTCCAGACCACTATGATAAAGTGAATATCACAATAAGGCAAGTTACATAAATATTTTGGTTTCCCAGTTCATATAAAAGTTATGTTTACATTATACTGTCATCTATTAAGTGTACAATAGTGTTATGTTTATAAAACAATGTACATAGCTTAATTTAAATGTCTCTTATTGCTAAAGAATATTAATGATTATCTGAGCCTTCCATTAGTAATAATAATTTTGCTGGTGAAAAATCTTTCATCCATGTTGATAGCTATTGACTGATCAGGATGGTGGTCGCTGAAGGTTGGGACGGATGTGGAAATTTCTTAAAATAAGACAACAATTGTAACCCAAATGACGTTTTTAAAGTGCAAATCTCGCAGTTTCCTGATTAGAATCTTTTGATGGCATCCCATTCCCTTTAATATAAAGATCAAACCCCTTAGAACATGAAACCTGAGGCTTTTGATAATTTGGCTCTTTCCAACCTACTCCTTTAATCTCACTTCTTTCCACTCACATCCCCTCTGCCTGACCCAAACCCATGTCAAAGCAGTCTTTGCCTGGAGAACTCATAGTTATCGTTCAGATGTCTTAAATATCACTTCCTCGAGGTCTTTGCCTCGATAAGAGACAGAACTAAACTGGTGTCAGAGAAAGCATATTTGACCCCCTAAACTATTTTTTTGGACAGTCTCACTCTGTTCCCCGGGCTAGTGACCCCTAAATTCTTAATCCCATTGTGACATAAACTATTTTGTGTCAAATTATTAGCTACCTAAATTTAGTCGAAATTTGCTTCAGCCATTTTTTAGCCGTTCAGTCTTTAAAATTAGGATTGAATATATTGAAGCATTTTCTCCTTTGATAATTTGATAAATTATTTACACAGGTTTCCTGTGAAAATCGTGAGTATTTAAATGTTGGATGTCAATATGTCAA